AAAGAACATGTGGCTATAGGAAATAATAGCGTAAATAAGAGTATATAAACTGGTCCATGTAAAATACAAAAATATTCAATGAAGTCAGATTTTTCTATAAAACAGTGCTAATTAGAGGTATTTTAATAGGAATTAGGTATATAATCTAAATGTAAAAACTTTTAGAAACATTAACAGCATTAAGCTCGTGCCACCCACTTGTGCTTCCAATTTTTATTTTCAAAATAAAAAAAGCTGCTTTGTTTTGACTCACGAGAAGTATCTAATGTCTATTTTCTTATAAGCATTATCCATTCATATAAGGTTAACAATCCTACACTAGAACACTATTTAAGTAAAAAATAAGTTTTAAAAATTGGATTTATATTTAGTCCTCCAAAAGTGCCTTAAGCTGGTAATGCAGCTCAGTGTAGCTGGAAGGAAGAGGCTGGTCAAGAATCTGATTCTGAGCCAATAAGAGTTTCAGGCTACTCTATGCAGAGGGCAAATTTAAGTGGGAGAAAATATTTACCACTCCAATATAACTCGAAAGATACTTACAGACATCCACATGCTAACAGGCAATTGCCTCTGTGTGTGCGTGGTGTGTAGAGATAGACTACCGAATTAGTTTAACATCGATCAGAGTTTGGAACCCAGATGTCCCATTTTCTAGTGAATATGGGGGCACGTCATCTCCCACCCCAAAAACACAAGAACCTTACATATATGGCTGCATACTAACAACTCTTTAATATTTACTCAGCCATTCCAATACCAAAAAAAAAAAAAAAAAATCTGGAAGCAGCGAGAAATACTTGACGTGTTAACTATCAAGCTGAAATGTTTTGCTTTCTCATATAAACATTAGGTGGTGCACGGTAAATGGACAATTGGTGCATGTCCCCAGAGCACAAAACCGAACACAAAGTACATGAATTAATAATGATTCTACCATAATGAACAATAATAACGTTAAGTTTTGATTAGCACAGAACTATTTAAATGTGAAAGCCAAATTAGTAAATGTTGTAAATATCAATGCAAGCCGGAAACAAAGAACAACTTTTTAATGGACTAAGAGAAGACCAAGACTTTTGGGTTAGGTGCAGGTTACTTGCTAAGTCTAAGTGCACTTCTTTATCTGGGTTCTAGGACATTCTGGCATTTCTTAAGAAAGAGAAAAGGACAGGAGAGAAAAGGAAGAGAAAGGAAAGGAAAGAAAAAGAAAGAAAAGAAAAAGAAAAAAAAAAAACAAGAAAAGAACATAACATACTACCACCACCAAGGATACTGCAAAGCTAAAGAGAAACTACATTCATTTTAGCAGTGTACGCACAGGCCAATTTACAGGTAACAAAGGACTAATGCCCCAAATTGGCACGGCCTAGCAATTATCTCTAAAGCACCTAGAAAATGGATTGAAATGCCCAGCTGGAATAGTCTTGTGTCTTGCCATTTAAAAGACTGAAAAATCCAGTTTTTTTAAAAAGGATTAAACAAGAAGATTAACACCTATTCCAAAATGTATACAGCTTTTGTACCTTTTGTCATTACAGCCGCATTAAATACAAGTATATTCAAAAGGCATTAGAAAAGCATTCATTGCTAAGAACATAATACTAGACTCTGTTCAAATCTACTGGCATATCTCTCATAGTTCAAATATGCAGCAACGCCAAAGTAGCTAAGTTAACCTGCAAACAAAATCACAAAAAAGTACAAAGGGAGCAAGTACAAATCCACTGTAGGATGCACGGTCTCAATTTTGACTACATGCAGGAAAAAAAAAAAAATCTCTTTGAAAACTGTTTTTCCTAAACTGTATATTTCTAGTCAGAATACATAAAGTGAAAACACTGAAATACTAATTCAAGATAATAGAATAGAACCAATAATCAGGTGATTTTACACATGCTTTTTGCCATAGAAATAACAGTTTTAAAATCCCTTGGTTGGGGAAACCAAAATCAGGTGACTAAGTTGTAGTTTATAGTTTTTAGGGTGTTTTTATTTATGTAAGTTTGAAATCCCCCACACCATCCATTCTAAAATCAGAATTACAACTAAGTATACCTGAAATTGAACAGTATTGCATGTTGGAACTTGTACTTGCTTTATTATTTTGTAACACAGATCACATATGGATTAGTATTACAGAGTCTGGTATCCGGCATAGCTTTTTCTTCTGCCAATTAGGTAAGCAATCACTATAACGATAATCAAGCCTGAAAGACCAGCACCAACTATAATTGGTATTAGAATGGTGTCATCATCCAGCGAACACTCCTGGGCTGTAGGTGAGAAAAAGTGTGTAACATATAATGAGTATAATCAAAAATGAATGTCCAAAAGTAAAAGATGTTGATTCAAAAGTCAGAAATGCTCTTACAAAATCACCTTTAAGTAACAAAGACAGGTATATTTTAATGATAAAGCTACAGAAAATTATGGATTGCTCTAGAATTAAAATCCTAAAACGTATTTGCCTTTTCTTTTGTGGGTGTATGTATATTCATATGTATGAATACATACATACTCATTTATATCTATGAGTAAGCACATATATATGTGTATGTGTTTCATATTCCAAGTCCTTTCTAAAATAGAGGAATGAAGAGGAGCACCTGGGTGGCTCAGTCAGTTAAGCATCTAACTCTTGGTTTTGGCTCCAGTCATGTCTCAGGGTCCTGAGGTGGAGCCCTACATCGGGCTCCACGCTCAGCACAGAGTCTGCTTGAGATTCTCTCCTTCTCCCTCTGCCCCTCCCCCAGCTTACGTGCATGCTCTCTCTCTCAAATATTTTTTATTGATTGATTGATTGATTGATTGATTGGAGAGAGACCGAGATAGCGACAGAGAGCACAAGGTGAGGAGGAGAGGGAGAAGCAGGCTCCCAGCTGTGCAGGGAGCCCAAGCTAGAGCTCGATCCCGGGATTATGACCTGAGCCGAAGGCAGACACTTAACCGACTGAGCCACCCAGGTGCCCCAATAAATAAATAAAATCTTTTTTTAAAAAAAGAAAAGAAATGAAGAGAGCTAGTTCTAACCCATCTCTACATAGCCAGATTAGCCTCTTAGTGCTAGAGTGAATGTCTTTTGGGAAACTGAGAACAGATCAGAAAGGTTTAATCATGGGATTAGAACCATGCTGGCTCTCGAATCTTTCAGAGCAGAGAGCAAACTATAGCCTGGAGGCCAAATCTGGCCCAAGAGCTAAAACTGGTTTTTCCACATTTTTAAATGGCCAAAAAAAAAACCCCCAAAAAACAACAGAAATTTTGTGACACATGAGCATTCTATGAAATTCAAATCTCAGTATCCATAAATAAAGTTCTATTAGAACCCAGCCACACTCATTTATTTATTGCCTATGGCTGTTTTCGTGCTACAACAGGATAGCTGAATAGTGGTGACAGAGCCCATGTGGTCTCCAAACCTAAAACACTTACTGCCCGTGCCTTACAAACAAACTCTGCGCATCCCTGACCTAGAGTATATGATCCTAGTGGCTACAGAAGTCAAGAAGCTGGGACCTCTTACTGATGTGCGTGTGTTTACTACATTTATTAACCTGGCTGGGGCTAGCAGCCCACAGGGGGCTAACTTTTCTATTTCCAGAGAGTAGTCTGATCCAGTAAAATCCATTCAACACTCTTTGACCTGACTGCAAGCTTACTTCCTCCTCCTGCACGGTCAAGTATTAGCAGTGCGTTGTACCTATAGGTACCCATAGTCAAGAACCTAGCTCCACAAACAGATTACACGTTCACTGCCAGTATTCAATGTTGTGTATTCCTTTGGGTACCATTTTTAATTCGACATACACAAAAACCAAAGTTTCAAATTCGGGAAAGAATGCAGCTCATCGCTATTAGAGCTGACTAGATAGATGAACAGACTCAAGCTGGTATCACGCCGCAAATGATTTTCAATTCTAAACACCAATCTGGACCTAAAATTAGGGTAATAATGGAGGGGAGCTAGATAAAGACTCAAAAATAAAACTATGAAAGGATCAAAATAATTGTAGTACATAAGCAATACTGACAAAAGGGAAAACAAATTCTTGAGAAAAATTTCTAAGTGTGATTAACCTTTCCAGGCATGAGAATGGTAGGGTGAGGATCCCAACTTATTCTGGCCTAACCAAGTCAGGCTGGTGACCAGCACCAGCGCAAAAGCAGCTGAGCGGCTCAGGGCATAGTCACTTTTAAACACAGCTGCCACATTTCCTTCTAAACCATAGAATTAACTGTTAAAAAGGATGTGGATGGTCTGAATAGCTCTGCTCAGCAGAGCTGTGATCCACAAACCCCCAATTTTAAGTAATCAGTTTTAAAGGACAAGTCAATTAAGGAATTTTATGGACTTTTTTTTTTGCCTCCGTGCAAATTTTAAGCTTGTAATGCCAAATGCATCTTTCATATTTGTATAAACGCACTGCCATGAGCCCTCCACAAAAGGTTTCGTTAAAAATCTGATAAATACCACCATCAGCCCCGAGCAGATCTTCCAAAAAGCCTCATGCACACTTCAGCCGGCCAAAACACTGTCCATGGTATTTGAGGCTTTGCCTAACCGTAATCTTCTGTCTTAACAAAATAAGACCAAACTGCTTTTATTTGTGTATGAAAATATTTCCAACGAGAAGATGGCCCCAAGAAAACAGATCCCAGATGCTCAAAGCTGCCATCCTTCCCACAAACTAAAACCTAGCAGGGAGTATCTATACCTTAAGCAAAGCTCACTGAAGGCTTCCATCAGTTTTGAGTTTTAAGAACTTGGTTGCAAGTGGGTTTCAGATCCACACACAAAGAAATCTACTTTGAGCAAAATGATGGGCCAAATACAGAGTTCACAGAACTTGCTCAAGGCCATGCGAACTCTCCAACAGAGTCACAAGAGGTGAATTCATATTTCTCTATTTCAGTGCTTAAATTTCCATGAGTCAAAGGAAAAGCCACCTATTAGTCAACATAAGAACATAAATTATTGATAAAACTTGCTTGGTTCTTACCTGTAGAATATTTTCCTTCCATCACATTGAAAGGCTGAACCCTCAGATCAAAGGTATTTATCTGAAATGCTCCAGACACTGAAACAGTCTGCTCTTTGTTGCACATATAAGAACTTCCCAGGGGGGCATCCCAGTAGCTCAGATTGTTATTTGCGATGCTGAAAACTTTAAAGAAAACAAACATGTTAGGAGCTTTTGTTTTAAGTAGGCTCTACACCCAACATGGGGCTCGAACTTTCGACCCAGAGATCAAGAGTCGCATGTTCTACCGACTGAGCCAGCAAGGGGCCCCTGTTAGTAACTTCTTATTCTATCAACATAAGAAATGGGACAGTCCTCAGAATTTTTCAGTGAAGTATGGGAGCCTGGGGTACAGGGTCTACCAAAAAAAAGCAATTCTTAGGATCACTAAGTTTCCTATCTTCCTATAGATGTTTCTGTGGTCTAAAAATCAGTCACAGCCTTAACTATTATCCACCCTACTTGAAAATGAGGGAGACTGAAAAGATAAAAACACTATAGTTCTGTTACTGATTTTCAGTTGTGGTCAAGGTATAATTTTCACATAGATTCTTCTGTTCCATTAAATAAAAGGCACTATTTGGTAACAAAACAACTATGGTTTCTATTCCTTCAGTGTAACCTACTCTTTTCCCCAAGGCCAATGCTTTGCTTACCAGAGCCATTAACCAAGTACATGCTGACATTCACTTCCTTCAGATAGAATCGGTTTTCATTTTTCTGTTAGAAAAAGAGCTTCCAGTTAATCAACACATCACACCTGTCTAAAGGTACAGTTAATATCTACAGATGAAAAGCAATCTAATCCTATTACCCAGAAGATAAAACCATGGCTTAGACCTGGACCAACAGAATAAACTGCAGCTAAGGAAAATGTGACAGAATCCTTTTTCCTCTGCATTTTGTTTCCAATTTTTGGACCAATGGTGTAGTCACGTGGTTCTTCAACACTCAACAATTCGTTCCCTCATTTTATTCCTCCTGTCACTTGCTAAGCCCCCACCTCCTCTAGCTTGGATCATGACAGTCTCTTAACTGGGCTCCCTCCCCGCCTTTCAGCCTCTCCAGCTGGGAGCTTTCCTTCGCCGCTATTATCTTTGTGAAGCACGCATCTATCAGCCAGTCATTCTAATTACGTTAGTGCTTAGCATGTACAAGGCAACATATCTAAGTACTCCAGGGAGCTAGCCGAATGAACCAGGCTTGGATCCTGCCCCCACCGTGTCTGCGATCTGCCAGGGAAGAGAAGACAAATACATAAAGAAATAACCATATTGCAAAAAAGACAGCAATAAATTATAAAAATCAAAAAGAGATAGATGACTTCGAAGTAGGGGAGAAGCAGAGCGATACGAGCTTACGGATGCGCCATTTGAACTGGGCCGAATTCAATGAGGAAACAAGCAGAAAAGGGTATTCAGGAAGGCAAGTGCATGAGTAAAGGTAGCCAGAAAATAAGCACCATCACAAGTACGGCAGCATTTGAAAACTTAGTGCCAAGCGATGTTCTTAAAACTTCACATGTGGGGCGCCTGGGTGGCTCAGTTGGTTAAGCGACTGCCTTCGGCTCAGGTCATGATCCCAGGGTCCTGGGATCAAGTCCCGCATCGGGCTCCCGGCTCAGCGGGGAGCCTGCTTCTCCCTCTGACCCTCTCCTCTCTCATGCTGTTTCTCTCTCGCTCACTCTCTAATAAATAAATAAATAAAAAATCTTAAAAAAAAAAACTTCACATGTGAGGGCGCCTGGGTGGCTCAGTCGGTGAGGCATCTGCCTTCGGCTCATGATCCCGGGGTCCTGGGATCGAGCCCTGCATCGGGCTCCCCGCTCAGTGGGGAGTCTGCTTCTCACTCTCCCTCTGCCTGCCTCTCTCTGTCAAATAAATAAATAAAATCTTAAAAAATTTTTTACAGGTGAGGTGTCACTGAATAACCGTAACACTCCATTCTGGGATGGGGTGCTCGAAGTATGGCGATGTTAAGTGATTTTCCCCAAGGCCATATGGTTAGTGGCCAGTGAGGCGGGATCTGAACCCCGGAAGTCTGGCTGCAGAGCCGAGGCGCTGGTTGCTACCGCGCTCTCCTACCTCACAGAACATAGGCTTCATGAGAAGGGAAAGGAGGAGACACAAAGCCGGATATGCAGGTTATGCAGGTTCCGTTGCATGGCGGCGGGGGGGGGGGGGGGGGGGGCAGTGTGGGGGAGAGACTTGAACTACCCTGCCATGGAAGTTAGAGGTTACCTTGTTGGTAAAACAGAACCGCTGAAGCTTTCTGAGGAGGAGCTGTGCTTCCAGAAGATTAAGCGGATGCAGAAGAATACCAAGGGAGGAGAGGAAGGACTAGCTGGGAGGCTGGGAGGTAAGAGGTCATGCAGGCTGGACTCAGGGCAGAGGCCGTAGGGAACAAAAATGGAGGGGACAGATGCAGAGAAATGTCAGGAGGAAGCACAAAGGACTTGGCCACCTCATTACACCTCTCCTCGCCTTAGGCTATGTCTCGCCTTGGCATTCAAGGCTCCCCACGATTTGTCCCACCTACCTTCCCATGCCTGTCTTTCCCTCAACATGCCACGTGCCTCATTCTCCCAGCTGGTCTTGATCGCGTTCCTTTTTCCAGAAATAACGTGTACTTTTCCGCTTACTCCCCTTATCTCCACATGTACAAACCTGACCCATCCCTGAAGGTCCAGCTCAAATGTCATCTCTTCCGTGAAACCCTACTGACTCTCCTACACCCAGAATTAACCACTGCCCCTCTATACTCTCACAGACTTTGTATTTTCTCCTGGCCTATCACTCATCCCACCCGGAATGCACCTTCCAATGGTGCTCTAATTGCCCACAGAATCCAGTTCAAAAGCCCTAGTGTAGTATTCAAGGCCTTCCACAAAAACGGTCATTTGTATATTTTTATCTTTACCACTAAACTGTGGGCTCCTTATTAATAGAGGCCTTCTTCTTTGAATCCCACCATGGCATCCTGTACTCAACAAACTCGAATTCAATAAATTCTCCTTCAAAGTGTCTATCATGACAGGGTTGAAGATGGGCCCCAGTGAAGTCTGGTGATATTACAGGTGTTTCTTGATTTTTCGAAGTGCCTATAGCATGGTTAAAATGTCACTATTTTTTTTTATTTTCTTAAAAAGATCTTATTTATTTGAGATAAAGAGGCAGAGATAAAGAGAGAGAGCACAAGCGGGAAGGACAGTCATGATCTCAGGGTCCTAGGATGGAGCCCCACATCGCGTCCGGCTCCCTGCTCAGTGGGGAGCCTGCTTCTCCTTCTCCCTCTGCCTGCCGCTCCCCCTGCTTGTGCTCTCTGTCAAATAAGTAAATAAAATCTTAAAAAAAAATAGTCTGTTGGGCAAATTAGATATTATAATTATTAAATATTTCCCCGTAAGAGTTAGAAGAAACCATGTTCCTTTTAGGACCCGACCACAGCTAGAAAGATCAAACTCAATCACTCCAAAGGGAAGGAACCTAAAATACTATTTTATTCATTCTTACTGATAGTATAATCCCTATGAGATATCTTTAAAAGAGAATATGTCTGGGGAAGCCTGCTTTACCGCATCGAAGAGGACGAGCCTGACCAGACCTTTTTAATACTAATCCTCTGGTCACATGTGTACTGTAACAGAGGAATGATTTCAAAGCTGGTAAAGGGAAGATTTTTATAAACCTCTCTAAGATATAATTGCCTGATATAATCCTCAATTACTCTGCATATATTCCATAGAGAAAAAGGACTTTAGACTAAAGATACCAAGTTTGGACTTGAAACAAACACCACACATCTAATTTTTTTAATATATCAGATGTTGACAGTATTTCCCCATCCCTAGATATTGTAATCTTATTTAGAAGCAGAACTGGTTTTTAATCTACCTATACAATAACCCTTAGTTTGAGAACTGCCGGCGGCTTAAATTTTCCCTCATTGATGGCTGTCCCCTCTTTCCCATTCCCATTTGCCAGAACACATACACACACACACACCCCAAAAATTATGAGGGTAATAACTGCTTCTGAGAAGGTAGAAATGAAAGTCCTCGGTGATGAATTTATGCTAGCAAGAAGCAGAGCACATATGCTTAACCTGGAATCTTCTCTTTAGGGTTCAGCCCTTCATACAAGCATGAACAACAAAAATCCGAATGCTACCATTATACGCTATCTTGATTTAATGACTTTATGCATGTTAAGTACTTACACAGAGTCTTGTAGATGGCAAGTACTCGATAAATGTTAGCTATTATTGTTACTGATACTATGACAAACAGTATAGCCTCCCCCAAACCTAAAATATTAGAGTAAACAAACATGAGTTTTCCAACCAATAATAGAGAAACATATTATGGAAATTACTTTTTATCTTTTGCAATATATAATATATAAATATATATACTTTTATTATTAAATATTTCTGTATCGGGTAGATTAGAGAGGTTTTTGTTTTTGTTTTTTTGAAGTGGGTTAATTCTTGCCCCTACCGTGAAGTCTATATAATGGGCGAATAGTCGCTTTTGGTGAACATGAATATTAAGAATCCAGCCCACAGACCACTGAGGTGACTATGAGGGATTAAGAGGGGTCGATGGACTACACTTTATAACTCAGTAGTGCTGAAATGGAAAACAGAGCTAAATCCACCCCCCTACACACACACATAACTATTTAGACTTTCAGATGTGTTTCTAAGAAAACAAACTTAATCTTAGAGAAATCTGTTACTCACCACAGCGAAGACAAAGTCAAGATACTTGATGTTGCTGCAGTTCAGCCTAAGCAGGGCAGTCTGAGGCTGACAGCTCCCGGTGAAGTCAGTCGTATTGGGGTTGATGTTAATAACCGAAACAACCTGTAGGGGAAGAAGAGAGAGAAAGGTACAGCTTAACCATACGCATCCACAGCAAAAACCTTATACTCTAATGAGCAACTTCAGTGGAGAACAAAAAATCCTTTTGTCTGCATACTTAAGGTTATGGTGTCTTACTTTCAAACAAAGTTGGCCCAGGCCCTCAAGCTATGACTCAGACAACTTAAAAAAAAGAAAGAAAAAGAAAAGAAAAACAAAAGGGAAGCTTCCTCTGTAATGAGCCAAATGAAAAGACACATTTTGGGCACCTGGGTGGCTCAGTCGTGAAGCGTCTGCCTTCAGCTCAGGTCATGATCCCAGGGTCCTGGGATCGAGCCCTACATCGGGCTCCCTGCTCCGTGGGGAGCCTGCTTCTCCCTCTCCCACTCCCCCTGCTTGTGTTCCTGCTCTCGCTGTGTCTCTCTCTGTGTCAAATAAATAAATAAAATTTTTTTAAAAAAAAAGAAAAGACACATTTTATGGAGCACAAGAGCCATCTGTCTGGCTTATTGAAGTCGCAAGACTCTGGAAGTGGGATCTGCCCGTCAGCACGCCCCCTGGAGGCTCAGTGGAACACTGCAACCACAAGTGCCACCCCGGACTGGAGCCCTGAGCGCATTGGAGTCATTGCGGGGAAACAGCGGCACTTTGCCAAACATCAACCTACACTGCACTTCAGATACAAATGTGAAGGAGTTATATTTTAAACGGACTGAAATAAAAATCACCTGTGTGTACTCTGATCTACTGATGGTAAAGAGAATCTAAACCCCAGGGCGCCTGGGTGGCTCAGTGGTTAAGCGTCTGCCTTCGGCTCAGGTCATGATCCCAGGGTCCTGGGATTGAGTCCCGCATCGGGCTCCCTGCTGGGCAGGAGGCCTGCTTCTCCCTCTCTCACTCCCTCTGCTTGTGTTACTGCTCTTGCTATCTCTCTGTCAAGTAAATAAAAATAAAATTAAAAAAAAAAAAAGAATCTAAACCCCAAAGAGTCCCTGAAACGGCTAGGTTTCCTGATGGCCAAGACAACCCCTTGACAGGGACATTAACTCTTCCTGGTTACAGTAACTCCAAATTTATCAGACCTCAACAAGTCAACATCAAATCTCCATTTAAAAGGGGCACCCGGGTGGCCACTCGGTCGGTGAAACGTCTGGTCTGCCTTCTCCCTTCGGCTCAGGTCATGATCATGATCCCGGGGGTGCCGGGATCGAGCTCCATGTCAGCTCCCTGCTCAGCGGGGAGCCTGCTTCTCCCTCTGCCTCTTCCCCTGCTCGTGCTCTTTCTCTCTCTCAAATAAATATTTAAAAATCTTTAAAACAGGGCCGCCTGGGTGGCTCAGTGGTTAAGCGTCTGCCTTCGGCTCAGGTCATGGTCCCAGGGTCCTGGGATTGAGCCCCGCATCGGGCTCCCTGCTCTGCGGGGAGCCTGCTTCTCCCTCTCCCACTCCCCCTGCTTGTGTTCCCTCTCTCGCTGTCAAATAAATAAATAAAATCTTCAAAAAAAAAATCTTTAAACCAGAACCAGGCTAGCAACACTACTCTTGGGCCAGAGGTAGGATACACCATATTTGAAAGGAGATACGAGAAGAACGTATCAATAAAAACAGAGAACTATACCTTATCGTGAGTGAAATTCAGCTGCAGCCCCATGGTAGCCAGAAGACAAGTACCATTGCTATTATTAACCGAGTAGGATCCCACCTCTGGTTTTTCCTTTGGAGTGGGTGTTGTAGTAGGTGATGGTGCAGTGGTGGGGATGATGGGCACCACAGTGGTTAAAGTTTTATCTTTTTCACACAGAAACTCTAAAGAAACAAAGGACAAAATAAATTCAAGTGGCCTTTTTCTTAATTCATAAGGCCAGGAAAGAACAAAATATTTCTCACAATAGAAGTCCAAAGGGTTATATTAGGGGAATCAGGCAGAGGTTCCCAAACTGCTGCTTCGGATGCCGACAATCTCTAAGAGTTATGACACACCAGACACATACAAACGCTTTATCTACTTCATACTTTATCTACCACACACTCATCTTTTTAGACCCCAAAGTCCCTTTATTCCCAAAGAATGTCACCTGCCTCTGATGTGAAAATGAGAGATTTAAGTTTGAAAACATTTCACTCCTGCCCTCTTCTTTCCCACATACAACCACTAGAAGGAAGGACAGTGTTAACCAGGAAAACGTTCAGAAATCATTAAAGGGTTTAAATACAAATGAACCTTTTATTTGTATCATTATTTGTATCACCCCTTTGACAAATCAGAGGCATTTCAACCTCTTCTTAGGAAGTGCTGGTAGGTTTTCAGAGCTGGTGAATGAGAAATTATGACATTTCCATAAAGTCATATATAAGTTACAAAAGCAGTTTATAAAATTCAAGATTCGAACACAAAAATCTCATTCCTAAGCTAAAGAGCTGATGATCAAGCTATTTGAGGATTTGTTCAAACAAAGATTAGGTTTGATCAGCTGAAAACACTATAGGTCGGGCATTTGTAAAAAGCCATCTGTACAACGTGTACATCATCAACTTGAAATTGCAAGTTCCACAAGAACAAGAATTGTGGTTATTTACAAAAACTTTATAGTCCAGTGTAAGCTACGAACAAGGCTTAGTATAGAAATGCTTCCAGATAACAACGTCAATGAAAGCCAGCTGGCATACTCTAATCTTAAATTAGGATCCAAGTATGTATACTTGAGGAACTCACCTTTTGTGCTCACTGTGCCATTCTGGACAAAAGCCTGTACATGAACATCCCAATAGGACTGGACGACACCATTCTTCTCTAAAGTTGATAAACTATTGCATCTGAAGATGTTGTTCAAGGGAATTCTGAATCCCACAGCGTCACGGACGGTCAAAATTCCTATAAAACAAGATTAACACTAGCTGTTCCCAAGAAGGTAGTTCTCAAAGTGATCACATAAATTTATCTATAGACTTTCTTCTCCTTCTGCCTGCCTGCCTCACCCCATCCTCAGGTGACAGAGGACATGGCACGTTCAAGAAATGACAAATTCACTGGGGCTGAAACACAGGGAGTAAGAGGAAAGACATGATGGGGGTTAGGAGGGAAAGACGAGTCGCAAGTGGCCACGCGTTGATGCAAACTGGAGGAGGGCAGGTTAGGTTTTATTCTGTTAGCAGTGGAAGGTTAGCTTCAGTTTTTAAAGCTGGAAATAAATAACACACACATAGTTTATTCTAAGGGAGATGGCAAAATTGTAGGGGCTAGGCAGGGGAAAAAACTTTTAAGGGAAGTCATTTAAGAGGGAAAGCAGTTAGAAGGCTATTGTTCTGGCTGAGGTAAAAGGTGAGGAGGTTGCCTAAATTAAGATGGTGAGAGGCAGTCGAAAGAGAGCAAAGAGACCAAACTGAAAACACAGCTAAGGTACGATCAACAGGGCTTTGTAACCAAAGAAGGAAGAAAGATGGATTCATCAAGGACTTTAGAGTAAATCCTTATTTTTGTGCTACTATCCCAAAGTATAAAATGAGCCTTTGGAACCTCTTCCTGGATAACATTTCAAGACTATTCCATTTTAGGAAATCTTCAGAATGTGAAAGGAGTAAGTTACAGTCAGTCTGTATGGAGTTTTTATTATAATGCCTACGGTGAAACCTCAAAAAGACTATGATCACAATTATCCACCCAAATGGCTTAGTTTCTTTTGGAGAAGCAGCAAGGAAGGAAGGGATACAAGGTCCTTAATAGGGGCTGCCTTCGGAGTCTCTCCATCATGTAGCAAGGCAGCCAATTAATGCTGTCTTGGCACCCCCTAATGGCCAAAGGAAAAAAAAAAAATTTAAGCCAAGAACCAGAACATTTTTCCCCAAAACGGTTTCTCACTGTTGACATAAGTGAATAGGTATTTGAACTGTCTTATACAGAGAGACCTCAAAAACAATCTATAGACATACTGGAGCTCTACTATGAAATGATAATTTTTTAAACTATATTATTTATGAATGTGTACAGATTAGCCAAATATAAACACACCGATAGGAAGGCTCCACCCCAAATTCCTAAGAGTGGCTGCCTCTTGCGTGGCAGAAAGGGAAGCTCTGGGGAGTGAGTACAGAGGAAACCTCAAATGTATCTGTAAGGTTTTATTTATTTTTTTTAAAGATTCTATTTATTTATTTGACAGAGAGAGACAGCGAGAGAGGGAACACAAGCAGGGGGAGTGGGAGAGGGAGAAGCAGGCTTCCCGCTGAGCAGGGAGCCCGATGCGGGGCTCGATCCCAGGATCCCGGGATCATGACCTGAGCCGAAGACAGATGCTTAACGACTGAGCCACCCAGGCGCCCCTATTTCTTTAAATAAATAAAAAGATGAGGCAAATATGAAAAAAAAAATGGCATTTATAAATCCCGGGTAACGAATACATGTAGGTCTATTATATTATTCTCTGGACTTTTCTGTATTTTAATCATGCAAAAAAACTTTTAAAAGAAAATAGCAGCTTTCAAAGTTACTTCGATTAGCAGATGCCTAAAAATAAAACACTAAATTATTTCAAAAACAACAGTCCATTTAAAGAAGCCATTTTAAATTCCCAATAGTTTCAAATATCTTCTTACATAGACGCTAGTAATAAAAAAAACTGCATCGGCCCCTCGTTTAAAATAAAAAGGAGGAGAGTGAGATGTTAATGTTAGAGTCCATAGCTTTTCCATTCAGATCTGTCAGATTTGTCCTTTTATCCGCCACCCCCTTGGTCCAGGCACGCGCTGCATCATCCCTTGGTTACTCTAACAGCCTCTTAAAGCTGCCATATCTCTGCCTGCAGTCTCCTCACTTCCCAATTAATCCCGCAGAACATTCTTTATTAACTACTGTCTCTGCTTTTGTTATGTTATTCTCCTGCTTAAAAACCTAAAATGGTTCCCCAGTGTCTACCCCATCAAGCTAAATGCCTTTCCTTGGCTTCCAAGGCCCCCTATCATTTAGACCCGCTGCACCCAGTGCACTTGATTTTCCTTCTGCTACACACACGGCCTCTATTTTCATCAGGCAGCTCTCCAGCTTCCGCTGCACATACTATGCTTCCCCCTGCTGGAAATCCTCTGCTCAAGCTCTCCGCCTGACTCAAGCTCCATTAGCCACTCCACTATTCAGCTCAGGTCCCTCCCGACACCAAGATTTCTCACTCCTCCAACGCCCGCTGACCTCTCCTTTCTCTCTGCTCCCAAGCAGACCACTGGTGAGGACACACTCAGACCGGCACTCGCAGAGGGGCTCGGGAAGTATATGCCATCCGCAACGTTTACTCTGTACCCTGAGAGAGAGGGTCGACAGGCGTCCCCCCACAAACAAAACCCCGGAACAACAACAACAAATCACACTGATCTCAAGCGCTTTCTACTTTTGCCATCTAACTTGGAAAAACAATTTTGCTTTGTCTCCCCAACTTGTTCTAGAACTCCTTGAAGGTGAGGGGCAAATCGTAGACTAGTTCTAAAGGACAATGCAGGGCACAAAGCTAAATATATCAAGTAAACCAGTAACAGTCTCGCTTCGGTCATCCTCTCAAACGAAGAGATTAGGAAAGAGAAAACTAGGATTGATTTCCAAGTCTCCATCCGTGTTACCTCCCAAGTTTTGCATGAGCTAATTCATCTCTGGGTCCCGAAAATAGGATCTTTTGATATCCATACCTCCAAATTAGTCATTCATCCCCAGGGCTTGCAACTGAAGCCCATCTGCCTGTGTTTCTGGGGTCAGAAAGAAATACTATCTGTGAAAAATGCTAAGCTACTTATAGACACCATGTTAACCCGAACCTCAATAGAAGGGAAAGAAAGGAGAATTATAGCCCTGACAAAATTGAAATCTCCACTGTCCATGCCTTCAAAATATTTAGTACAAAAAAAAAAAAAATCTAGTATGCATTTCGGTTCTAAGAGTGACAAGAACGCCTTATTGCCAATGCTTTTCCAAGTTCGTTTTGACCTGAAATTGTCTCAAAATAGCAACAAATGTTGACTTCAGTCATTTTGCCTTTAATTAATCATTTACTTTCCAGTCCAAATCCTATCTAAATGGTAAAAAGATCTGAAGATGAAGCATTTCTGCCCATCTCAGGTTACTGAACTTGTGCAGATTTAAAATAGCTATCGGTAAAGGATTTTCTCATTCATTCAGCATTTGCTGACTACCCACTATTGAATGAAATAAAAAATAATAGTGAAGGCATGAACTCTGTAAGCTTAACAGACTTGAGTTCAAACACCAGCTCACCCACTGACGAGCTGTGTGACCTCCGGGGAAGTCATTTATTTCATCAAGCCTCATTCCCTTTACCTATAAAGCTGGGATATCTACTTCCCAGGCTTGCTGTTATGGACTGAGGTGCAGCTAGTCACACACTTAGGGTACTCCGTGGTACAAAGTAAAACACTCAAACAATGACTGCAAATATCATCACCGTGTCGAACACTGCCATACGTGGGGTGGCGGGGATACAAAGACATGAACTTTCTGTTCTAGTTAGGAAGACAGACATGCATGCAGATGATTTCTTACATTATTTACATTTATATTATTAATATAAAGCAAGAGAGGGGTGCCTGGGTGGTGCAGTTGGTTAAGAGTCCCATTCCTGGTTTCAGCTCACGTCGTGATCTCAGGGTCATGAGATCGAGCCCCGCGTGGGAGCGGGGAGTCCACTTGGGTTTCTCTCTCTCTCCCTCTGCCCCTCCCCCCTGCGTGCATGCGAGCGCGCTCTCTCTCTCTCTCTTTCAAATAAATAAATAAAATCTTTAAAAAAAAAAAGAGCAAGAGAACATAACAGAAATCTAATTTGTAAGCTTACCTTTATCTTTAGCATCAGGAAATGTCGTATTATCGCTAATGTTGTAGGAAAACGAGATGCCGTCAATTGAGTAAGTAGACTCCTCCTTCGTAAAATTCACAGTCCAGGAAAAACCAGATCCAAACTGCACTGCTATTTTGGCATTGTTCTGGACATCCCCACAAATGCTTCCATTATATGTTGCAGTGCTAAAGTTTGAAATGGTTACAGTTTTCTAAAAGAAAAAGAAGTTCGGGGGTAAGGAGCTAACAGGCAGTAATGAGCACCAAGCATTTGCAGAGGATGTGCCAATTCAGTCTCTGTCACCCCCCCTCCCCCATGGCCAGGTTGCCCTTGGCCTGGCCCGTTGTGTAAACCAGTCTCAGATTCTTCACCTACATACCAGTCCTCTGGACAAATTCATGTATGTCGAAAAGGAAAAGGAAAATGGGCCTGAACTTCTATTCTTGATTTAAAAAAAAAAAAAATCAGGTTATAAGGAGGCAGGACCTTAACTAAAAGAAAATAAGAAGGCAAAAGGATTGAGAGAATACCCCCCCCCAAGGAGATTTTAACAGCAAACTATTAAAAATGGGAAAGCTTTGATGTGTACATGTTAAAGCATTACAGATGTAGTCAGACCTAAACGCCACAGTCTTCGGATCGTTTGCCCTTAATCAACTGCAAGAAGAACTCCAAAGAACCCATGAAATAAAATATTCCTTCCAACACTAAACAGAATACCTTCAAGTATGTATGTTTTTGGAAACCCACAGAATTTAAGTGTTAAGTCAGTTAACATATGAAATCTTATTTACATAAATGTATACAAAGGATAAAGGGTAGAACTGAGTTCCTACTGTAAAACTCAAGGAAAAAGAAAAGCACTTACGTAAGTTTTGTTTGTGGTCTCATATTGTATTGTGAAATTCATCTGCCATTTTGCATAAAGGCAAGTGGCTTTTTCTGAGTCTGTCACATTAAGTTCCAAGGCGTAAGATGAGACCGCTCCTAGATTAGAAAGAGTAAGACTGTAAAACTGTACCACGAAAACGTATCTGAAATAAAAAGCTCTACCCACCACTGAAATTCAACCAGCTCTAAAATGCAACAAAATACTTTGAAAATATATGGTATCTTGGTGATGGTTTTTCTTTGTATTTTTAGCGGAATCCTATTGATAAAGTTAGCATCACCCCTTCCAGAAGGAATGGGTTACTTGACCTAGGATGCTTAGGTAAGGGCACAGATCGGTGACATTTACCTTTTGCCTCCTAATAGCCATATCCACATTCATCTGTGCCTTGCTAGTTTTGCGTGTCAGGACTTTTGTTTTTAAGGTAAATGAGCTTACGGGAAGCTTGGGAGGGGTGTTAAACGGTCTCTCTCATTTGCAATGAAGTAATGTAAGTCAGAGAAAGACAAATACCATATGATCTCACTCATATGTGGAATTTAAGAAACAAAACAGATGAACATAGGGGAAGGGAAGGAAAAATAAAATAAGATGAAATCAGAGAGGGAGACAAACCATAAGAGACTCTTCACTGTAGGAAACAAACTGAGGGTTGCTGGAGGGGAGGGGGGTGGGGGGATAGAGTAACTGGGTGATGGGCATGAAAGAGGGCACATGATGGAATGAGCACTGGGTGTGATATGCAACTGATGAATCACTAAATTCTACCCCTGAAACTAATAATACACACTATATGTTAATTAATTGATTTTAAATAAAAAAACAAAAACAACAACAAAAAACCCTGTCTCCTTCAAACCAGCTGGTGGAACTTTCTCTGTCCAAATAATGGTAGATCGGATGTTCTATGGTCTTGTTGCTTTCAATCCTGTCACAAGCTATGTGACCCATGACACACGGATGTCTTGGCAAACTATTTTATTCTGATATTAAAGTGTGGGAGAGCTCTTTGTAAGCATGTGTACCATGTGACCAAAAGAACAGAGTTTCAAAGGTTGTTAGGTCTAAAAGCAAAAAGTTAATTTTTTATAAATGTAACATTCATCACTTTGGTTTCTTTTAAAATCCAATCGATTAGGAAGGCTGATGAATCTTCTGACATGGACTCAAAGTCACTTCCTACGTTCTGAACCTGCTACCTCTTTAGGCAGAGAAACCTTACAGGGACAGAAAAGCCTTGGGACTTTTGAGCTAACTTGGCTCTGATCTACACAGGGACATCACCTTTTAAACTGAAGAGTCCAAGGACTCAAAATACTATGTGCCAGCAAACACACCAGCAGTATAAATGCCTGACAACCATTTAAGGGTTTTCTTCACTGTCTCACACATTACCCAAGGGGTGAGCTGTTTCCTGTTAAGACAGATGCGTTTCTTTTAATGATACCTGAGCAACCCAGCGTCATCTACAAGCAGGGACATGCTATAGGCTGTGCAGCATGAAGTCCTAAGAGGAATACCAAGAAGGCGTGCCTCAGCAACAGCTTTCAAGCTGTGCACAGAAGCCGATCGTCGTGATGCTACAGAGACCAGGGGCCTCACAAGCCTGAAGGTTCTGCTAAAGCTTGTGGTTACTGAGTACCTAAATGTACTGGTTAAGGCCTGAAAAGACCTCGTGAGGCCTAAGTAGATTTCACAGCTGTCCTTTTCTAAGTACAATAAATATGGAATGGAGGAGCTTGCCATCCCTGACCCAAGGCTACCTACCCTGTAGTGGTGCCGGGAACTCTGTCTCCTAATGTTTCCAATCGACTGGAGGCCTGCTTTTCATACACTGTCTCTCTGGTCTCATTTAAAGTCCCTAGCTTTAACATAACTTCCTTGTATTCAAGAGCTTCAAAACGGCTGGAAATCACCAAGAAAAGCCTCACACTGGTTAATCACTTACTTCCCAAAGATACTGAAGTAACAGAAAAAAAATGGCAGAAGATGGTAACAGCCCTGACGTGCCCACGTGGGAGACCTCAAGCGTCAGGAAGCGGAAGGCACAAGTTGTGGTTCAAATTTACCAGTACAGCCAATTCAAGGCAGTTTAGCTGCCGACCTGAAAAGGAGAACTGAGAAATGCCCTGAGGGCTCCGGCCCTTTCTGTTCTGGTGCCTTCGCCACCTTTCTCCCAGGGAGAGCTATTCTTTTCGCAGAGCTTCCCCGCTTCCTTCCTCTCGACCTCTCCCAACTGCACCGGAAACCACTTTCACTCCATCGCTATCAACCTCACACTCAACTATTCTAAAACGAAAATTCACTCTAAACTGGTCCCCTTCTCGGCCTCTCTAGCTCTCAAGGAGAGGTGGGACCCAGGACAGTCACTCAGGCTCACAAGTTTGGGAATCAGCTTCTACTTCATTCCCTTTGCGAAGTCCTACTGGGTTTCTTTTTTTCCCCCTTCAAATCTCTCTTAAATCCAATCTTGGCCTTTTATTTCTATTCCCAATCCACCGTCCCACCCCTCAATTACTACAGACGCCTCCTAGCTGTCCCTCAGAAATGCTCCCTGTTTAACGGTCCTTAAATACCTCTTCCTCTCTGGACCTAGCTCCAAAACTCCCATATTAAATTTAAGTTCCTCCACCTGACTTTCAAAGTAATCCTTAATCTCATCCCACCTTCTTCCTTCAGCTTCTCTCAAACCATTTTCCCAGAGCACACCCTTTAATCCGGTTAAACTTGTTCCACTGGACCCAAATGCCATGCTCTATACTCAATTTCTACCCCTAGGCTTCACCTGTCCCTACCAATTGAAATTCACGGTTTTTCCACTGACCTCAGTGTTCACCTTGGGAAGGATCTCCCTCTCTGTTTGGCTGCTGCCCCCAAATCTGAACCACCACCCCCACCCCCACCCCCCCACACCCGCCCCGCCGACTCTGCCTCTTCCTAATAATTTCTGGCCCCTCACCACCCACTGTAAAAGCTGAAAACGTCAGACACCTGCTGTCCCGGCCTCCCTGGCAGCAGGGATGGGCACCTGTGCTCGGCTCCGCTGGACACAGGCATCCACCCCAGATCTCAGATGGGAGGGCAGCGGAATGGAGCGGCGCACGGAAGCTGCTACAGCAGGCAGGGTCAAGGTCCCAGCAACAAGGCCGGCCACGCTGGTGGCAGTGGCCCAGAGCGGGCGGACAGCAGCGTCACGCTTGGCGCTGTTAGTGCGGCTCAGGGGCGTGATTTGGGAAACTCAGCCAGGCTTCGAGATACACAGCCAGGAGCTCTGGTAATTCTGAGTTACCGGATACACATTTTTTCATAAACATACAGAAGAGTGCACACTGTAACACACGAAAGGGAAAAGCGCACGTAACGTGAAGCAGACAGCTGAGTCCACCTGCGTCAAGAAACAGAACATTCCAAGTGCCCCTGAAGCCCCACTGTTCCCCCTTCCAGGTACCTTTTTCCCCTCCCAAGGGCAACCCCTATCCTGACTTCTAACTATACAGATTAATTTTGCCTGATTTTCAACTTGATGCTTACAATCGATCAGATTTTATTTCTGGTGCTTACAATTAAGAACCTGGACTGGGGGGCACCTGGGTGGCTCAGTTGGTTGGGCATCTGCCTTCAGCTTGGGTCATGATCCCAGGGTCCTGGGATCAAGCCCCACGTCGGGCTCCCTGCTCAGTGGAGAGCCTACTTCTCCCTCTCCCTCTGCCTGCCACTCTGCCTACTTATGCTCTCTCTCTGTCAAGTAAACAAATAAAATCATTAAAAAAAAAAAAGAACCTGGACTGATAAGCTACCCATTTCTCAACAGCCAAGTATCTCTACCAAGGTCTCCTTAACTGTAAAAGCCTCGAGGAGCTGTCATACATGGCCCATACCCCTACCTTTCTGTATATTTTATACTATCCTGAATTATTCAGTTATTTTATGCGTGTAAATCCTGACTCCTATATTGTCACAAGCTCTAAGACAGCAGTTTTCAACTGTTAACTTCACAACAAACTGATGTGTCATGGTAAATTATAGTATACAGCAGGTAATTTGTTAACTAATAAAAAAAGGACCTGAGTCTGTGAATGAATGATATATATGTATTCAAGATTCCCCGTTGATAATGTCTCTGCCACTCATTTGAATTCCAATATTCTCCCTTACCAACAGATGATCTAATCTATGCTGCAGCCCCTAGGAGTGTGCCTCTTATATGAACGTCATCCATCACGGGTGCCATGGTTGGGGAGATCATGTCTATTACTTTCCCTCCATCTCCTATCATTCCTAATAGTGTGGAATACATATTAGTTTCTCAATAACTCCTGATTGATCATATCAAGGTAAAAATACCCTGCAATAAGGACCTGAAATATAGTTTAATTACAAAAAGGCCAGTGTTTTATCTCTTCCAAATCATGAACCTAACCTATCTGGCTTCTAGATAATCCCTCAATCCCCAAGTCAGTTTTTGCCTCAATGAATTTTGACATGAATTTCAAGCTAGGAATAATGTATTTTCCATAAGGCAAGTTGACAGCTGAAACATTTACACTTTGCTAAAAAAGTCCCCGGCAAACCATTTCCATCCTTATTGCTGTATTTGATTTTAGCATAGCTAAACCATTTTTGTTTGAAAGTCTTTATGACATTAAAAAAAAAAACCCACAGCTGTGTCAACTATACTCAAATTTAAAAAAATCATTAAATTTAGTTAAATAATGTTTTTCAAGAGAAACCCCACACAGCTGAATATATCCTAGAGTGTGTAATTATAGAGCTGAGAGTTTATTCTCCAAAGAAAAAGGCATGCCTCAAAATCAACTTTTTCAAATTTAAATATCCTCTCAATCTTATTTCCAAAAAGTTCATTTACAGGTTCTTTTAGAACTCACAGCTTATTTCGCCAAGCATGACATGCCGCAAAAAGTGGCTAGGTTTTTACAAGTCTATCTGACCCGAAGCGTAGTAGAAAAAATACACATTTGCAGGGGCGCCCGGGTGGCTCAGTCGTTAAGCGTCTGCCTTCGGCTCAGGTCATGATCCCAGGGTCCTGGGATCGAGCCCCGCATCGGGCTCCCTGCTCGGGCCTGCTTCTCCCTCT